TTATATTCTGTGAAATGTGCAAAAACGCAGCGGTAGAGTTTGACCCCCGAACCTAATTATACTATACTTTTTGGGTTAGTATATGATGATTAAGAACTTGGACACTTAAAGGCAGAACATTACCCTAAACCCTAAACCCTAATCCCTAAACCCACAGGCGAACTGTCTGCGAGCAACTTTTGAGAGCGAAATGAGACACTGAAAAGGTTGCAGGCCATAACTTTGCAGGGATGATATAGGCTTTTATAGGGATTATATAAGGGATTATATGGGGGTTTCCCAAAATTATGGGTACCTTTTTGGGGGTCCCCATAATAAGGATTGTAGTACATTGGGGTCTATATTGGGGTCCCCCTATTTTGGGAAACTACCATATAGGGTATGGGACCCAAGACAGTTGTGGCAAGCAGTGACGGATCTGCCGCTGCTGTGTGAATTGATGCGGAATGTAAGGAAGTCACTGGCTTACGTCAAGTGCTGCTTATACGCGAAGCCTTTGACGATAGCAATTCGTTTATCGGGGCACTAATTGCGTGCATGTTTCCCGAATATCCCAGGGAAGACTAAAGCAAATATTATTGGGTAAGACCTTGCAACTAGCAAATTGTAGCAAAATCATAGTCAAAGAAATCGGGGTCCATTGTCCACGCCGCCGTACATAGGGCAAAAGCAAGATTGCAGGGTTTTCAATTGAGTTATCCCCATTTCAAGCACTACTGCGTTAAGAACCCCAAACCCTGGAACATCCGGAGAGACTGGCAAGGACCTTTGCTAAATGGGAGGTTGTCAAAATTATGGTCCCTTTGTGGGTACCCTAGATATTAGGTGCCGTATTATAAGGGATCCAAGAAGGGACCATAGTTTTGACAACCACCCAAATGAGTGGGGCCAGTAGGATTCCATGGGGACGTTTCAAGGTACATCGGGATAAGGGCGGAAGGGGGAAGGGGAAGGCAAAGTTAGGCTGCACATACCCCCTCACACGCTTCGAATCTCTGCGTACGTCAACCAAAGATGATCCCGTAAAAATTGTCAGGAAAATGATCCCGTAAAATTTGTCAGGAAGATGATCCCGCAAAATTTGTCAGGCAGCAGCACGGTGACCAAGCACCAGAGGAAGGCAAGAAGAAATAAACCACCATCGACGATGCACTGCATCCCCTCCCAGCCACCAGCTCTCTGTATCATGAGGGGGCAGACCTTGGCAGGCTAACAGGGTTCCCTTTTAGGGTTTAGAGTTTAGGGGTTTAGGGTTCTGGGACCGGAGAGAATGCACCCCAAGTATGCGCATGTTTATATCATCTAGGTCGGGCTCCCACCCACTAGTAGTGGGCACCAGGGATAGTGGTACCTGCGTTGGGCCCCCCAAATATTCCTAGTATACCACTACTCGTGGTGGAGGTCAAGTTAACAGACATAGGCTTGGTCCTGCAATAATTACTATCACCGCCCTAAGGGCTGAATGACCCCAATAAATGGTAGTTACATTCTTTCAGGATAGCAAGTGGTACAACCCTAAGGGTCCAAGTACCAAATAATCATATACCTACCCAAAACCTGTACTATAATTACTATATTACCCAAGACCCAACTACCCAAATATTGGGTACATGGACCCTCTGGGTATTCTATAGCAATATAGTAGTTTCCATTTTCTTTTCCATTATCCCTATATTATCCCTATATAGGCCCTACAGTTATATAGTACTCAAATTGGGTACACGGACCCTTAGGGCAAGGTCTCCTTCATCCCCCGTGGGTTTTTACGTTTCCCACCGCACCTCGCAAGTGCCGTCCCGATCCGCGTCAACTTTTCGGAGCGGACAGAGGAAGGAAACGCTCCCAATCTCTGCCCGGAACCTAGGGCCCCTAGGGTTTATGGGGGTTTTACGGTTTTAGGGTTTAGGGGTTTAGGGTTTCAGGGTTTAGGGTTTTAGGGTTATAGGGTTTGGGGTTTTAGGGTTTAGGGGTTTAGGGTTCCTGGGTTTAGGGTTTGGGGTTTCAGGGTTTAGGCTTCCTTCGGGGTCCACCGGAACCTAGAGCCGTGTCGCCGATGCACGGATTTCGAGGAATTAGAGGTCCCTTTTTGGAGGTCCCTTTGATATGGATTGTAGTGTTTTGAGGTCTATATTGGGGTCACGGTATTTATGCAAACTACCATGTCTTGCATCTCCGAAATTCTTCTCAGGAACGCTAACATGTAAACCATCAAGGAACACAAACCAACATGATCACAAGAATAGCCACCACGAGGTGGAGTAGTACTAGCCCTACGGGTTGTGATAGTCTGCCTACTTCTCCAGCTACCTACTTCTCCCAGTGCTCTCTCGCTGTAAGCACTTAAACCGTAGTTCCAAAGATCAGCCAGTGGTCTCGGCTGGTGAGTCGCACAGGTGACCGCGTGCAGGAGTAGGCTGGCACCAGCATACCTCAGGGTTTCTTCGTTCAACCCGCACACCTCAAGCCCTTGGCTTGGGGGAATACAGGGTTTGCGCAGTTTCCAAAGGTACTGTGGCTCTTCTGTAGAAGTTGCAGCAACAAGATTGTGATGTTCTACTACCGTAGTATAGCAAGCCTAGATTCAGCGCTGTGACTTGGATATACTTGGTACACGGTGGACTGAATGCAAACATCAGAGCATACCTTGTAGTGCTCAAGGAGTGTAGCCAGACGGTGTTTTTTGGCCACATCTTCCTACATGATGGCTGTATGAAGATCCTTGTGCCAGTGTTTTGAAGATTGACGGAAAATCGGTGGCAATCCTATTTTTACATGCCCCACAGAGAAGGACTCCCTGTTTTGGAACATCCCACCTTGTAAGTCAGCGCCAGCATGCCGTCAGAAGCGGAGAGCCTGCCAAAGTCAAATAAGTGACCCATCTCATCGTAGACGGCGGTGATGTTGAGGTCTGAAGGGTCTTCTTGGCCACATTGGCGCATGACTCTTGCGCGATCTTTGGTCGTTAGGCCGGTTCCATACAATTCCTCGCCAAGTGCCAGTGCAATCCCCCCCACCCCCAATACAACATGACCTGCCCCAGAAGTACCTCCACTAAATAAACCCAGGATTCCCTTTTCCTATAGTCCCCTTAAGTAGATAGATTATAGGGTATAAAGGGATTTTATTATAGTATACCCAAAGCCATATTCTATCTACTTAAGGGGGGCTATAGCCTGAAATGGAGCGGGGAAGTGTCCTCAAGGGAGGAGGACTCTCATTCTTCGTGGCTTATCATAGGATTGCCCGTGAATGGTTTTCCGAACCAGCTTATTCAGGCAACCTCCTTCTATGTGTGCTTCTACTACTAAACTGTCTATACTATACTTTCGTGGGCTTCAGATGCACTCAAACCAAGATGCTAAATAGGGCTTGCTGGTATACTCCTTCCTAGTGGCGACTTAGATGATCGATGACGGAAGGTCTCCGCTTTTGGGGAATGTCGTGTCTCCAAGTTCAATCCCACCGGGAAATAGCTTGAAAGTTAATCCTAAACAAGACCGCTTGTGGCGAGGCAATTTAGGCTGCAAAGTTTAGGGCTTTGAAGATTAAGGGTTTAGTGTCACAGCGCCCCATAGCGATGAGGGGCCCTGTCAGAACTTGACTCTCATGTGCCAACCATCACAAACCATCCTGGAGGAGAGAACGCGCCGTAGCCGCATGTCCAAGTATGTGATAATGTGTAGCAGAAAAACAGTATCATAATACTACATAAGTTGGCATGAACCACTGCTCCACAAATATGGGACTCATTTAAGGAACTTCCCTCAGGAGTTTCTACAAGCATGTGGGTCAGTGTTGCCACTTATCGATGAACAAGCCTCTACAACTTAACGAACCCAGGAACCCATTCTCTATTTTGTGCCTGGGCCGCTAGCCTTGGCCCTACAGAAACCCTCACAAGGGGTCCTGATAATGCGAATCCCAAGTATCCACCCTCTAACCGTCAACCCCTGTGCAGTTCTCTCTAAGACCAAGCTGCTGTTACCTTGAAGGACACCCAATCTCCGAGCACGTACGAATTCAGCTGTGTGCGCATGTTGGGCCCGACCTGGGTGTTGCTTAATGGGGATTATCTGGGGTTGCATAATGACTATACAGGAAGTGAAAGGGGTTCATGGAAAAGGATCAATGAAGGGTTGTTTAGGAGGTGCGTAGGGGTTATCTAGGCTTTATAACTCGTTTACACAGGGTTTATATATGGTTTAGGGATACTACCCCCTAATGGAGAATGAAGAAGCTGGTACATTACATGGAAGCTGGGAGTAGGTTCTACGGTACTTTCTAGCTATAACTGGGCTATACCCCTACCTAAACGGCCCAGATACGTGGATGTATACATGGAATTACATGGAGCTGTAAGGCGAGTTGTACGGAGTTGCTAGGTCTCATGAACGTCCACGTAACCCTAAGGGTCCAAGTACTCGAATAGTAGATCATTTGGGTCCAACTGGGTTCCCATATACGTGCTTTGGGGCCTAATTACATACTATTTAAGTACTTGGACCCTTAGGGTACAGTAAGGACCTAGTTTGTCCGGGCTTGACTAAAATGGAAAGCCTCTAGGATCCTTATGGGCGGGTTAGAGGTCAACAAAGGACAACTGGGATCCCCTATTCGGGACTCTATACACAAGCTCAGACAAACTCCAATGCAATTCTAGTTAAAACCTTGAGCATCAACGTTAGATACCAAGTTTCTGTTGCTCGGCCAGCTAAGTCACAGCTTCACAACGTTTGAGGGATACGTAGTATAGATTTGGAACTTCCCAGAATTCGAAGCCATCACATCTTCTAACCCTTAGGGTTTAGGTTTAGGGGACATGCCTCAACAACAGCCCAGCAGCATACACGAAAGCGCCCGCCACGACAGAGAAGTCACCATACTCTGTACAGTTTTGTTCAGCCGTCTCGCGGCACCAGCACATCTCGTACATTCCTCTGCGGCTGAATTCGGACTCATAATTCGAGAAATTCTAGGGCATGCCATGCTTGAGGCGCCCGTGGTTGCTGCAGCTTGCAAGTGGAAGTTTCCATTAAATGGAGACCCCTATACAATCCCCCCAAAAGACTAGACTCCTTAGTATAGGGAACCCCAAGCAGAACCCCCTAATTCTTGAAAACCTCAAGACATGTTGCCCTAAAACCTAAACCTTAATTTAGGCATTTGCCCCTGTCCCGGTCTGCTTGCTCGCATGAGTTCGAAGGACTCCATCCGGTAGGAGCCGTCAGCACCGTAGACGGCATGTGAACCAACCTGGGCTGCTATTCAGGAACTTCGTTTAGGGTTTAGGGTTTAAGGTTTAGGGTTTAGGGTAACATGGGTATATAGGGTTGAGGGTTTAAGTTACCATAATATGGGTGTATAGTAAGTAATAGGGGTTCCTCATTGTAGTAACTTTGAGTTCTATAACAAGCAACCCAGTAGCATCGTTACGATAACCCCCAAAATATACCCAATTATAAAGCAACAGTTTCAATGTTCTTGTCCATCATCCCTATATAACCCCAATATATTCCCCACTAACCCCCTAAACCCCAAACCCCAAATCCTAAATCCTAAACCCTAAACCCTAAACCCTAATTCTACACCCTAAACCCTAAACCCTAAATCCTAAACCCTAAGTTATCCTAAGTTCCTTAAAAGCAACCCAGCAACAGCAAGGTCATGAGGCGTGTTTAGTGGGCTTCCGCAGGACTGCAGCACTCGTAGATGGTCCAGGCCAACCTTGCATCTCAATGAACTCATAAAACAAGGTTTATATAGGGGATTATAAAAGGTTTTGGGTCTCTTTTCAAAGGGTTTATAGAGGTGACTATAAAGGGTTTAGGGTCCAAATTACAAAGGTGTATATAGGGGATTATGTAGGGTTTAGGGTCTAAACTCCTTGCAAGGGAGGTTATTTAGGGGATTATATAGGAGACTGCTACAGGGGGGATGAGTTTATGGGGGAGTCTAGGTGCTATAGTCTAAACTCCTTAAATGGGGTTGTATAGGGAAGTATTCTAGGAGTTACAAAGGGGGATACTACATTCTGGGGGAATTCTTGTATCGGTTGCCTATTTGAGGTCCCCTTTATTCGGATTATAATGTTTTGGGGTCTATATTGGGTCCCCTTATATTGGGAAACTACCATGTAGGGACTGCTAGAAGGATCCATGCCTTCATTGATTTCCTTCCTTGCTAAGCAGCAGTAAATGCATGTGAGCTATAGTCTAAGCTCCTAGTATCCCCCTTGATAAGCATATACTACTTCCCTATTTAATCCCCTATGTAACTCCCATTAAGGATTTTAGACTATAGCGCATGTGGGGACGAAATGGCTCAGTGCTAGCGCACTAAGAATCGCAGGATCTTGCCGAGCCTGCATAGTCTGGGACTATGTAACCTTCTTTGATTACCCACATCTGCTTTGCACCTGCTTGTAGAGTCGCGTTGTGTTGCTATTCTTGGTGGGGAGTGGGGGCTCTTCTGACGTAATGAAGTTGCATTGAAACTAGTGTAGCTTTAGATGTCTGCACGCGAAAAGAACCTTCAGCGCTGATTCTGATGTTTGTGCCTGTGTGCTTTTTTTGGAAGCCTGTCGCAGCCCCATAAGACATCAGGCAAACGTTTTAGGGGTCATCTCTACGTAATTTGGCTTCAAACAATGCACAAAGCCAGTACGCAGGAACTCAAACGGACTCCAGCACCTAGAATTGTTATTACCATTATTATTACTATTACTATTATCAGCATTACTATTTTTTAGTACTATTATTATTACTGTTATTTTGCTTTTCTTACAATTTATTATGAAGGCAAGACACCTTGAAGCCAAGCCCTTGGAGTTCTGGGATGTCACATGTCGCCCAGCTTTTCACGCAGCTGGCAGTGTTCTGAGGAGACCTGAGCATTGAACAACTGCGGTCGTAAATTGTCCTTGATGAAATCTCAGAATGTTCCGCGGAATTCGACGAAATGACCCTGCTGGAAGGTGAGACCATAACTTGTTTCAGGACTGTCTCAGGACTACAGACCCTCTTCATGAGGTCTTCAGATTGCGAACCCAAATCGAGGCCCAAGATACGGCAGGACTCAAGAAATCTTCCTGCAGGTGTGAGGGAGAATCTCTGTTGACCAGCTTTGTCACACATGGCGAGAAGGTTTCAGGTTTAGGGCTTTAGGCGCTCAACGGTTGGACTGCGTCGTGCTGTGCGACCCCGACTGACCATCTAAGACATTCATCCACGCCACGCCGTCCCGGGCCGTCCCAGGAGGCCTAAACCACCCAAACTGCGGTTCTCCTGCGGAGATTTAGTGTAATCACAGCCCTGTATATCGCTATAGAAGTAACTCATCGATAGCGTATGGGAATGACTCAAGGCCCAGCTTGATCTTGCGGGTGTGATGTGGCAGGCATAGAGTGTTTGTCAGCTGCCCGGGCAATACTTCTCGCTGGCAAGTAGCTCAAAGGCCTTCCAGTGACCTAATGCCTTCCAGTCAGTTGGGCCTCAGCCAAAGCCCCCAAAACCAGCCTGCAATTTGGGGTTGAAAAAGGCCGCACAACAGTTTGCAGGAGTCCTCGAAGTGACACTCAGTCCCCCAGCTCAACTTTTTGCTCCTAAGCAATGTCGAATCGGCGTAGTCGACCCGAGACTCTACATTTACACCTGACATAGCAACCTCTAAGCTCCCAAATCCCTCAAGCTGAAACAGCAAACAAGACACGGACCATGAAGCTCCATCGTAGCAGTGTGGGTCGTCGTACCGTCATCGCCTGAGTGCACAGACGGTCAGAACCAATAGCCAGCCCTGAATAGCGCAGTGTTGATTCGGCTTGTAGCCACATGGTAGTTTCCCAAAACAAGGGGACCGCAATATGGACCCCAATATACTATAGTCCTTATTATGGGACCCCCAAAATGGTACCCCTAAGTTTGGGAAACCCCCACATTGCCGTTTTGATTACCACCAACCTGGAGCGAGTACACGTTGACCATTGAGGTCAGCATGTTCACAATGCTCACTCGCAATGAGTAGTGCGCTGGCATCTTGATTGCCGTGCATTTGATCGCCCATCAAACTTTAGACTTTCAACTCCTTAAACCCTGGCCATGGCAGTCACGATCGTGGTTTCTCAAGCCCCCGCCGAACCGAAGCCTTGCCAATTCTGCGTATAAGACTGAACAAGCCTAGTCATATACTTTTCAAGGGACTTAGGGTTTCAACGTCATCTTCCTTGTTCTTTTCCAACCGATTCTCCACCGTTCTTGGGACATACTCGAGTCTCAAGTGGTGATCCAACCTCCCCCGACACGCTAAAATCTACACGCTCGATGTGCGCAATGTCCAGCCCTGTTCCTCTCTGTCTTGGACCTTCAATGGGTTAGTCACTGTTTGTTTGAAAAGGTTGATACACATTCTAGGATGCCACATTTCGGAAGCTACGCTATCCCTAAACCCTAAACCCAGTGTCCATATAATTTTCCATGTCCATTTCCATCGATCCTCCATTGCTAGGGGCATATCTCTATATTATCCCTGTTTCTATATGCTTTAAAATGGACCTAGGATTTAAGCTCATGATCCTGGCATATTCCGGCACATAAAGGCAGTCAAGGCGCTGCATGAACACAGCAGCTTATCACCAGGCCATCGGTCCCGCAACGCGTACCCAAAGTTGATGCGGGTGTTATCAGCGTCGCCTGTCGCATTGAAGCGGATAGCTGCGCTGACGTTGTCGGCAAAATTGCAGGTTGACTCACAGCGGTAGTCTGTGCCTGCATCCTGAAGAAATCCAGTGCTTCCACCCTTCAAGAGGGTCTCAGAAACGTCCAAGATACAATTCACTCCCCTGGTGCAGTTCAACCTGAGGGCATCCTTCTGGTCGACATCGACAATGATAAGGAAAGGTGCCATGCTCGCAGGCTGCAAGCTTGAAGTGCTGTTGCTGGTCAAAGTGGCATTTAAACAAATCCTCTCCTCGGGTTCCTTTGCCGCGTCAGGCGCAATCACGACGTAGAATGTGCCGTTTTTATCCGGCCAGGCCATCGTCTGCAGATCAAAAGCTCTCTGGAAAGGAATCGAAGCAGCCACGCACTTCCTTCCAGACTCCCCGTCCTCCCAAACTACCAACCTTTCCTCGGCGCTTGGGCTGGTTATGAAGGCGAAGTCCTCGCCGGAAGTGGCGCGAAACTGCGGCTGTATAAAGCCAGGGCAGATATCAAGGTCGATGAGCAGTTCTGACCTTCCACTGTATACCTGAAATGCTGCCCCCATACAACAATGACGAGTATACTTTCTAGTCCTTGTCTGGGTAATCCGCAAGCTATGTACTCAGTTTTTTGGTAGTTGAACTGTTGAACCACGTAAAAAATAACATGTGCTTCGAACATGCTATCCCTTTAAACCTAACCCTAAGGGTCCAAGGACCCAAAGAACAGGGTTTTAGGGCCCAAATACTATATCATTAATGGTATTTGGGACCTAAAACCCTATTATTTGGGTCCTTGGACCCTTAGGGTAATAGATCTGCGTTCAAGAAAGGTGCTGGTCCCTGCCTCTCGGCCCACATGATGCATTCGCCATCTCCGAACCTTTCCTCCAAGGTGACCACTGTAGGATCAATGACGATGGTGCCCCCGTCGTTGTCATCCAGGATGGTTGCCTATACTACAATATACTATGATATACTATATTATGCTGTACCATACTATAATAAATGTATTGCAAGATACTACAATTTCCCGGGGTTCCGCGAATGATAGCCAGGCGATCTGCAATGCCCTTGCCGGCATGAATCCTGTTGTCTTTCCCTAAGGGTCCGTGTAGCCAATATCTGGATACTGAGGGTTTGGTAATAGTAAGTATAAGGTATTATGGTATATCATAATAGATTAAAGTATATTGTAGTATATTATAATATATCCTAGTACAGGTTTTGGGTAAGTATATGCTTAATTTGAATACTTGGACCCTAAGGGTTCTAGGGTCCAAGACCTGCGTAGACCGGTAGGATTCGCATGCTGTGACACGAGCATTGCCTCTTACCATGAGAAAACTCAGTTCAGGCAAATAGCTGGATTGCTGGCAGAAAATTGCGTAAAGAGATTCAAGCGCTGCAGCAAAGATACGGTGGTTTCCGCCAATTCACCACCCGGGTTGGCACTGAGGGGAAGTGTCTGGATTCCCAAATTTACGACCTAAGTCACAGGCAAGTACTGACTTGCAGCAACACAGGATTCGGATTTAACACCGAGTAATGCGATTCACAGGATGTCCTTCACTTTGATTGAAATCGAAAATAAATCTGCTGTAGATCCCTGGATTGATAAACCCCTATTACGAGAAATTCCCGTCAGAGGCCAGAGTGCCTAGTGACCTTTAGGTGAGCCACTGGGCTTTAAGAAGTAGGACTAACCAGGAGGGTCCATGTACCCAATATTTGGGTAGTTGGGTTTTGGGGAATAGTAATTATAGAACAGGTTTTGGGTAGGTATATGATTATTCGGTACTTGGACCCTTAGGGTAAGTAGTCCCCTGCCTCTACTAACACTTGCTGCCCCTTGTTCCAGGGATGGTTGGGGCCCTCGGCCGCTACCCAGAAGTCGCCTGAAACCACAGCTGGCAGCTTGTCAAAGTCTGACATCCAAAGCTTGCCCAGCAAGAATTAATAGTCATGAGAAGAACGTAAGAATGATAGCATTTAATGATAGTAGTCGTAAGAATAATGATAGTAATAAGAGTAATAGAAATGTGGGACTTCTCAAGCCAGACTCCTGACCCTCAGCCTAAGCTCCCAGCACCTAGACCAAAACCCTACGCACAAAACCCGAAACTGCAAACTTTGCTCGGCAACCTTCGTGTCCTCCGCAATATCCTCAGTCTCTCACTTGTCATCAGTCTACAAAGGTACCCTGCGTACGGAATTGATTTCGAAAATGAAGGGAATCCCAAATGCACTGGAAAAACAAAGGAGCAAGGATCGCCTAAACCCTAAATAGTGGTTTGCATTTCATTTTCAAATATCCGAATATGACCCCTATATATATGCACCTCACTATACTATAGTAGTTTCAATTTCCCTTTCTATTATCCCAATAAAGCCCCAATATAAAACCTCAAAAAACCTACACCCCAAACCCTAATATAACCCTAATATAACCCCAGTATTACCCCAATGGATTACTCTACAGATTCAGACCTTCGAAGCCAAACCCTCCTGTCGCGATTAGGGTTTAGGGCTTAGAGTTTAGGGCTTAGGGTTTAGGGCTTGGGGTTTAGAGTTTAGGGCTTAGAGTTTAGGGCTTAGGTTTTTTTTTCCATAGGGCTTAGGGTTTAGGGGTTGGGGTTTAGGGCTTAGGGTTTAGGCCTTGGGGATTGAACTAAGCTCTAGCATCATTGTTGAAGATGAGGAAGAGGATGGACTTGGGCTCAATATTGCCATCTTCCCAGGTCAAGGTATCCTGACTAAAGCCGAAGTCCCAGTCAACACCTGCAACATTAAGGTTAGGGTTTAGGGTTTAGGGGTTTAGGGTTGTCTCTTCCTTGCTATAAGATTGAGGACTTTGAGTGGCTTGATATGGGGGCTTCCCAAAACGCGGGGGAAGCTTCTCAGTACCCATAATAAGCACTACAGCATCTTTTGAATCTATATTGGGTTCCCCTGCTTTATGGAAATTACGAATATGTCTGTGGGCACAATTCTGTATACCTCAACCGTTCCCCAGACCCCCTATAGGATTCAAAAAATGGCGCCTCTAATGATCCCCTAGGTTCCCCAATGTAGTAGTATTGGGAGGGGGGTTCTATTTTTTTGGATCCCTTCAGGGGTCTGGATCAGGGGAGACTGGCGACCACATGGAGGGGCCGTGTGGGGCGAATGGGCTTGCCAGCAGCTGTTAGGACAGAGCCATGTTTAGGGCTGCCATTCCAGTCTTTGGGGGTTTAGGGTTAAGGATTTTGGGTTTAGGCTTTAGGGCTTAGGATTTGAGGTTTAGGGTTTAGGGTTTGGATTTAGGGTTTAGGGTTTGAGGTCGTGGATCATGTCTTGCTCTGAGGGACGTCCTGTAGAAGGGAGGGAAACTTGCAGGAAGGCTGCTGCACCACACCATGGCTTTCATGACTTTTATACTTTTGTCGCTGCTACAGCAAGCGCCTATCTCATTACTACTACCGCCACCATGACCACCACCACCGATTTTTTTGGACGCCGATTGGAACACAGCCCCCAAACTCTCCCCACCAGACAGGGATTTCCAACGAGACCAGTGCCCAACATCTTGGCTGCAGGGTCGAGGTTGTCCAGGAGGAAGCGGATGACAACAACCCTGAAATGCAGAATATCTTGCAAATGTGTACGCCTTATCAGCGGCACTGGAACTTGTGCTAAATTCAGCAGCTACTACTGCATTGCATTGCAGCTGCTACGACGACAGCTGCTGCTGCTGCCGCCGCCGCCGCTGCTGCTGCCACTACGACTACTGCTAACACTCGTCCTCCGCATCCTGCTCCGGCCGCTGCTGTTTCTGCTGCTGCTACTGCGACTGCTACCACTACTGCTGCTTCTTCCAACGACTTCTTCACCATCTTGTTCTTCTATTGATACCGCTGCCACTCCTGCTGCCGCTGCTCTACTTGTGCTGGGGATAATACATACACATGATACAGCAAACGCTATGCCAACAATCGGAATTGTCATTTCATGTAAGTAGCAGCCTCGGGTTGCGTTGGTGCCCGGCAACTCGACAAGCGTTGCTGAAATGGTCCCATTCATGCCACCGGCACGGATCAACCCGATGTAGTCGTAGGTACAACAACGTGCCGGCAACTGGCCGTTCCCAGTATAGTTGAAGTGGCAGGCTTCAGTGACATTGATCTTCTTCGGCAGAAACCTTACACAGGACTGCAGCGCAGGCAAGCATGGCAGTCCAGCATGCACTTAGCGCAGTTGAGCTGAGCGTCTGGATGTGGCCAGTCTGTGCAGACACGCCCGGAAGTACTAGCAGCAAGAGCCAGAAGCTTATGAAGCTCATGTTCCATCCGCCGGACGCTAATTGGAAAAGAGAGGGCGGGGGGGGGGGGAGCTGTGGTTGATAAGACTATGTCGTTCTCTGTCTTACAACCATCAGAAAGGCATGATGCCGCTGCCTCCTTATGAAACCACAGACATATGATAGAGAGAATTCGGTCATTGCCGCTGCATGGAGCCTCTGGAGCCTCGTGCTTGGCAACACATTCTTGTGATGCTGTGGTTGAATGACTCTGCAGACGAAGCATGGACATGAATTCTTCCTGTCTTTGCTGTTGAACACGCTAAAGTTCTGTCTCTTAAGAACTCCACTTACTCAAGAAGGATAAGCCTGATCCACTTGATGAGGATCTGATGAGCTTCATCAAGCCTGACTTGCTGCCAGTCAAACAAGGATGCTCAACAGCCTATACTATTGAGCACTACTCATGCCAAGTAATTACTGTATCAGCTTCACGGCCCCGTGCTAAGCACTGATCCACTGATTGTGGAACCCACTCCGTAGTGATGGTGGTGGCGATGGTGGCCACAAACATGGCGAACGCTGTGGCCCCATTAGGAATGTTGATGGGAAACTGGTGCAAGCTTTCTTTGATCAGCACTTATCGTAGGAACAGTGACTTCTAGTGGTAGGATGAGGTCAGGAACGGCGCACGTAGTGGAATCATCGGTATTGGCATTTTTGTTGCCATCGGTGTTGGTACTGGTGTTCTCCACGCTGGTGGCAGTGGCAACATTATAGTGGCAGTGGTGGCTGCAGCCTTATTCTATTAGTGACAGTAATAGGAGCAGCAGCAGCAGCAGCAGTAGTAGTAGTTGTTGTTGTTGTAGGAAACGGAGTAGTAGTAGCAGCAGCAGCAGCAGTAGCAGAGCTACCATTCATATCCTCGAGTACTACTACCCCTCCTCCTACTCGCGCTCTTAACGCATCAAGATCTAGAGTCACGTAGTAGTAGTAGCAGCAGCAGCAGTAGCAGAGCTACCATTCATATCCTCGAGTACTACTACCCCTCCTCCTACTCGCGCTCTTAACGCATCAAGATCTAGAGTCACGGCATCCTGACACCAAATCAGTGAGCGTTTGTCCTTCCGGACTTATAATCCTCGGCTCCCTGGCCCCTAAGCCCGTTCGAGCTTAAACCCTGATCCCTACTGTGGCTCATGCTTGTGCGCGGAGTTAATGCCATCAGTCCCCGTAGCAGTGGAGGTCACCGGAGGGGATGCAGGTATCTGCACAGATCCGGATGGCTTGCACAGCTTCGGCCTCCTCTACGTGCATAATATGCCCCCGCCAAAGGAAAACAAGTACGAAATGGGATCTTGGGAAGGATGCTGAAGTTCATTCCTGCACATCTGTTTATTCCTGATATGCTTCAAGTAATGCTCTCGAGGGTGGCATTAACTGTGCTTTAGCTGATAGCCAAGCAAATAGACATTCGTCGATATGGAGGCCTTCCTCCCGTTGAAGTTCAGAAACCATCACACGTACAATGTGTCCCAAACAATCTGTTTCAAGAACTTACTTAAATCTACATAGTAGATCATAGTAGGCTCAGAAAGAACCTACCGAATGCTGCAACACCATAAGAAACCCCTTAATGACCCAACTAGACCAATACGCCCCCTTGGAGTTCGACGTGTTGGGTTCCAGGATTTCAGGCCAGAGGATTTAGCCGACATTCCTGTCACATCCTAAGCCACCACGGCAGGTAGGGTACTGTAGTACTGCCTAGGCTCTACAACTTCTCTATTCCAGCTTGGGGCTGTTGAGGGCTTCGCATTCGGCAGCGCCGGCTGCTCAACATGGGTGAGGGACGGCGCCTCTTACCATGACCTAGTAAAGCGAATGCAAAACATCTAAGAAACCTTGCAGCGGTCTATCATGCCGAGAAAGTTGTTGTAATACATCCCCTGAAACCTACACCCAGCACTATACACCGAACTGCTGTCCAAGAGCTAGAGTTCGCTGCGTATCCCAAAATACTGCAACGCTTAGAATGATCACAAAAAAGGTCTCCGATCTGTTTTGCAAATGGGACACCCTAAACCCCAACGTGTGGCCGTACAGCCCGGAAGTCCGTAAGGCCTAAACCTTCTGGTTGTTAGTTGGGAATAGAAGAATATAATCCCGAATAATTCCTATACAATGTAATCCCTTTTTATTCCTTACTAGCAACCGGTAAGTAACCCGAATCAATATGTGCCCTATGATGCCATAGTTTCCACTTTCTTTTCCATTATCCCCTCTATCACCCTAGACCCTAAACGCCTAAACCCTAAATCCCTAAACCCTAAGCCCCCAAACCCCTAACCCCTAAACCCCTAAACCCTAAACCCCTAAATCCCTGAAACCCTAAGCCCCCTATGTAACACCATGGACAATACAGAAACCCTAAACCCTAAACCCCTAAACTCTAAATCCCTAAATCCCAAAACCCTAAGCCCGCTATGTAACACCATGGACAATACAGAAACCCTAAACCCTAAACCCTAAACCCCTAAACCCTAAATCCCTAAATCCCAAAACCCTAAGCCCGCTATGTAACACCATGGACAATACAGAAACCCTTTGGCAGCCTGGGTTTGGCTTGCTGCAGAAGCCACCGCCTGGCAGTTTAGAACCCTGAGGGTCCAAGGACCCAAATAATATGGGTCCCTTTAAAGGGGCTATAGGGGGATATATAGGGATATATGGGGACAATATGAGGGTCCAAGGACTCAAAGAATAGGGTTTTAGGGCCCAAATACTATAATATTAATGGTATTTGGGCCCTAAAACCCTATTATTTGGGTCCTTGGACCCTCTAGGGAAGCTTTTCCAAGGTTTACGGCTGAGAGTGTCATTTTTGGGGTTCACGGTTAGGGTTTCATTTTCAGGGTTTAGGGTTTAAGGTTTCATTTTTGGGGTTTAGAGTGTAGGTTTTAAGGTTAAGGGTTTTGGGCTTCAGTTTGTAGGTTTTAGGGTTTAGGGTTTAGGCTTGAGGGCTTCAGTTTTGGGATTCAAGCTTTTGCTGGTACGGCTTGATGGATGACCAGTTGACAAATGACAGAGAAGCTGGGACGACATTGGGATCTAGGGTCTGGGGTGATGAACGGGGAATTTGCTAGGGGGTTCCCACAATCAGGGGTCCCTTCCAAGGGGCTTGACAATGACGTACGGATGAGCCTTGCAGATGTAATTTACCCGTCACTGGTTAGCTAGTGAAGGCACGGAACAGAGGGGTCGTTGTTGGGGATCATGTGCGGCTACTGTGGAGTTGCATTCGCCACTTCCTGCTAAGCACCGGTAAGTCTTGGGCTTCTGAAACTACTGTTTCCTTTCAAGGGATTCTTCGGGAATGTATATGGTCCATGAGGTTTCCAACGATTCTGAGGACTGGGACAAATGGGGACAAATGTGGTCCTGCAATCGGGATGCGGCACGAGCACTGCAAGCTGAGAGTACAGCGGGCCCCTATTCCCGG